ATTCTAAGTTATTCCAAGTATATGGTAGTGAAACCGCAGAAGATGGGGGTGAGCTAGAAGTGTGGAAAAAGCACTGGAGCAGATGAAGAAAATTAATTCTTTATATTATTCTGGTGCTCATGCTAACCTATGGAAGATATAAAAGATGATGGATTTATCCATGATGGACTTACTTTAGCGAGAAGTGAGAATGTAATTAGAAAATTTGTCAAATCAGTTGCTATATCGCCAATAAATTTGAACGAATTTATTTTCGAATTGTAAAAGTTTATTAAAACCTTCCAAACATACGGTTAATAAGTTTTAATCTAAGGAAAACTGCAAAAATTCTCTCATAAAATGATTAAAAATCTAAAGAGAGAGGAAAGATAGGTGATAATCGTACACATTAAAATTATTAAAAAAATGTTATAAAGAATAGCGTGCATATAAGTAATTTTTCAAGAGTTCCAAGACATATTAGTGTGGTGTGTATGTAACGCTCTGCAAAGAACAAATCAGCGTAAATGAACGTCTATTCATCTAGCATCTCAGAGGACAATATTCTTCTTCCTCCCTTTTGTGCATCGGATTACGTCTGTTTGCCTTCTCACACCACTTCACTCCGAAAGAATAGCGGGGAGCTTCTTGGAAGTAGCGAGTCCTCTCGGGACAGTAGGCTCCGGGTCCCGGGGTGATGCAGCCGACATCAGGGGGATAAACACGGGCGGCCATGCTGTACTTAGGAGGGCAGTGCTTGTAGGTGCAGTCGTTCACGATCCCATACGTGCCAGGTCCAGGTCCCTGAGTTTCGATTGTTTCAGGAATGTTTATTAGGACTACTAATCATGTGTGTTGCGAACGTGGATGATGTGATATAAAACACATGAAATGGCCTTTATAATTTTCGTCACATTCTTCTGAATTTTAGAAAATTTATTATTAGGAAATATAGTGATATAAATAGATATTGAAATATTTAAAAAAAAATGTTTGAATATAAAGTATTAGAATTGGATTATTATATAGACGGATAGACAAACGAACACACACAGACAGAAAGACAGACAGTCAAACACTAACAATGGCTTTATTGGATGAATGACACTTTCCAGGAATGGAGTAACATGGAGCTGCGGTTTTGGTGATCACTTTGTTGCATCCAATCATCGGAGCCAGGCCGTAAGCTGCAGGACCTTCATTGAATAAATAAAAACATCATTAATTATTAGATTTTTTTACAAATTTGTTATACATAATTAACTATGCACATATTTAATATACGGAACTTATGCTAGTCTTTAAGCTCTGGACAGTTTAAGCTTTGGACAGTTTCTGTGTTCAAAAACGACAACGGAAAACCCGATGAGCCTAAAATTATTCTAACTCTAACTCGCCAACTAAACAGAATTGTTGTAATGTATGATTCATTAGGTTGCCCTCTATTTGAGCTGTACTTTTTGTGGTACGACACGAATCAACATGGACAAACATTCAAACGAACATCCACATATACAAAATTCACGCACTCACACACAAACATAAAACAGTTTTAATAGTGGTTATTGTTGTAGCATACCAGCGGTACATTACGAACAGAAGTTTCATTAAATATATTTACGCCAATCGACGCGCTTAATCTACATACAGTACATTTTACAACATTCGTTTTATATTCGTTGAATGCAAAATAGTTTTTGAAATTTTTGAGCAACTCCTGCCATGCACTATAGTTCAAAATTTATTCATCTTCCGCTACACAACTTCCCTCAAATCCATGATGAATTCACCAGAAGTTGCACAAGTTCTCTCAAGATGTTTGTCACATTACTTTGATTCATTGCAAGCTATTTGTCATTTAAATTCAAAAACGTATTTTTGTGAACGAATTGAGACCCTTTTGTTGTTGCTGCTTGAAATCTGCGACTGACTTCAAACAACTACAGCAGAACATTCAACGAAGTTACTGAACGATGAAAAAAGAGATGCAGAAATATTTAAATGGAAGAATATTTCAAAAATAAATGATAAAAAGTGAGATATTTCTTATTAATATTAATTTTTTTTATCATGGTTTGATTATTCATTAGTCACTCTACAGCGAAGTACAGTGGCAAATCGGTGGGGGATGCGGGGATGCGCCCCACCAAACCAGAAAAATAAAAAATTATTGAAGATTTTGTGTAAAAAAAAGCCATAATCATAACTTATCATTTTAAAAATTATTCTCTCCATCGAAACTGGATTCACCAAAAAGTCACCACTTTAGAATTTTTAAAGTCACTCCCTTCCAAATTCTGGATTTATTGATTGGTCAATGTTTAGAATGCTTCAGATTGATTGATAACACAAGTAAACAAACAACATACAAACGAAACGAACGAACGAACCACCGTGCAAAATTTGCAAACCTGGACTATCAGTAAGAGGCCTGTCCTTGAGTTTCAGTCCGAACGAAATGCCGGTACCACAGTATTGTGGCGGTTGGATCGCGTAAATCGGTCCAGGGCCTTCGTGATTTTCTCGGTACACTACTCGACCGGTGATGGAGTACTTGGGACCTGTTTGTTGTTGTCGTTTAAATTGGTTGCTCGAGTGCGCCAATATGCTGCGTGTCAAAGTTTGTGTGTCAGTTTGATTGCGTTGCTAATGCGCGCGTTCTTATTTTCTGTCTTCTGTTTGTATGCGTTCGAGTGATTGCTTAGCGTGGCGGTTGATGGTTTTTTTTGTACTGGGTCGATTTTGTTATTAAAAATAAGAATATTATCATTATTATTATTATCATCATCATCATTATTATTATTATCACTACTGTTAGTACTATCATGTTTTATTGCTGAATGTTATCAGGAAAAAATAAAACAGTTAAAAAATGATCCCAATATAACAACAACATCAAGAAGAAGAAGAAGAAGAAATCAAGTGAGGGGAACCGACCGTCAGGCTTATGGAGAGGCAGGTAGATGGGTCCCGGTCCACAGTCTTGCGGTTTGAAGGGATGGCGGCCCTGACAATTAAAAAAAAAGATTTTATTCGAATAAATATATTTTAATAAAATTGTTCATAAAAAATGGCTTTCTACCTCTTCACGATACTCCCACATTATTTTGTTACTCCTTGAAAGTGGAGATTGAAAGTCAGCTAAGAGCACGAAAGTTGGAATGAAGGTGTAAGCGAGTTGCTTTTAAGTTTATTCTATATATCACCTTTGTTTTCCACCAGACTATTGCGACGTGTTTGACTTGAACAAGCTAGCAGCTAGCAGCTAACAGCAACGGCAGCAGAAACAATAGTGAAAGCAATAACACGCAGTAAAACGCAGAAACGACACCAACAATGGCTGGCACTAACAATAATAAGTAGCGGCAATAATACGACCAGCAGCAACAATAGATTGGCAGTATTAACTTCAACAGCAGGACAATAGCAGACTGGAGGAAGACAAGAGAGTAGAGATTGTAGAGATGATGAAAGATTAACCCTGCACGCTTGTATGGAAGCTGCACAATGTTAGTCATCAGAGCCGCACAGCCATCAACAATAAAGTAATTTGGGCGGGCAGCATTGAATGAGGATCATTATTGCTTGGCTGGTTTGCATTTGCTATTGTGTGTGCGCGCGTGTGTTTGTGGTTTTGTTGGTGTGATTGTTGTTTTGTTGGTGTGATTGTTGTTTTGTTGGTGTGATTGTTGGTGTTTGTTGTTTTGTTCATGCGTTTGATGTTTTGTTCAAATGTTTGTTGTTTAGTTCTCGTGTTTGTTGTATTGTTCATGTGTTTGTTGTTTGGTTCGTGCGTATAAACATAAACAACATAAAAACATACAAACAGGTGTAAACATACAAGTGTGATCATACCATACATACACGCGTGGAACAAAATACAAGCAGCACGGCATGAAACTAATGAAAACAAAACTCTGCTCATACAAACGACCCCAATTATCCAAACAGATTCGAACGATAAATCACATTACCCAACATTTGTCATCTCATCGTACATAAGAAACACTCGAGCTAATGTACATACAAAAACCAACATACAAACATACAGGGAAATCCATCACATCTTTCTACAGAGAAAGTTGTGATGGATGACTCATTTGTGATTGATAGGATCGAAGAGAACTGCTGATTCGTTTCTTTCATGAATGCTGAGTTGCATGGTTGAAGAGTTGCATGGTTGAAGAGTTGCATGGTAGAAGAGTTGCATGGTTGAAGAGTTGCATGGTAGAAGAGTTGCATGGTTGAAGAGTTGCATGGTTGAAGAGTTGCATGATTAATAAATTACTTGATTGATAAATGTTAGAACTGTTTAATTGATTTTTAAATGAAACAACTGCTCGTCGAAGACTTCTAATTGCTATGCAGCACTCCATGCGTTGAATAAAAACCTTAAACACAAGTTCTATGGAGAAAAAAATATCTAAATAATTTAATTAGCGTAAGACCAAAATATTAATTGAATTTACTTTTAAATTTCGAGCAAATTTGAAAATAATTTGGCGGGAAAAGAGATATTTAAGTAAGACACTTGGTTGGTGACGGACAGTTTAAAATAATTTTTCAACATATTCAAATAAAAAAAATAAAATAAATAATTAATTAAAGAAAACAAATAAATAAACTAAAAAATAAATAAATAAATAAAAATAATATAGGAGTACGAAAAATATTCGGAACATCAAAAACATGAACATTGAATGTTAATGGCGCCAACTGAATGCAAAAAACATCAAACAACAACAACAACAAACTAAATGTATCAACAACAACAACATTGTCGGCGACAACATCAACAACTACTGCAACATACAATTACACAATTAACAAAAAAAACACGCGACAACTACACCGTCAAGCAACATCATCAACAACAACAACCAGAACAACAACAACAAAAACATCATTATCAACAACAACAACAACCTTGATTGTGTAGCATGGAGCTTTCACGTAAGTGCTTCTTGGATCGTGTTTGTCCGCACATCCCAACAAGCCTTTCATTGTAATAATAAAAGTAATCAATCAATCAATCAATCAATCAATTAACCAACCAACCAGGGAGCAAGTACTTGGGCCCAGGAGTAACGTTTTGAGTCATGTCACATTTGTTATTCAATTTCAAAATGCCCGTCGATTTTGGTGGCCACTAAATGGTGATGATGGTGATAATGATGATAATGATGAAGGAGATGATGAGGATAAAGAAGATGATGACGCTGATGATGACGATGATAATTTGTATGGTAAAACACGATTTTCAATGTATTGATAATGCCTATTGCCTGCACTTCATCCACATAACTTGAAAACATCATTAACAACAACATCAACATTAATAACATCAACAACATCAACACATATACAACAACAATAATGTTAACCCATTGATAGCAATAACATCAACAATAATAACATCAACAACAATAGCATCAACAACAATGATATCACGTTAACAACAACAAAATCCGCAACTTGTTACACCCAACCACCCACCGTGTAACTTCCGCACGGGTCAAGTAGGGCCCCCTTGTTCTTCCCCATCTTTCCTCCCCTATCAACTCCGGTAGGTTATTATTTAACAAAAATGCCCTAAAAATATGTTTTAGATTTTAGCAATTTAAAAAATGATGCTTTCAATTAAAACAACAAATTTCATTTTTTTGTTGTTGATTTATTTTGTTATCTAGTTATTAATTCATTCATTCATTCATTAATTCATTAATTCATTCATTCATTCATTCATTCATTCATTCATCCATTCATTCATTCATCCATTCATTCATCCATCCATTCATTCATTCATTCATTCATTCATCACATATTAACATGCCAACTCTCTTTTGGACAGTACTTGTTATAAAGTAGTAACGCTGTTGTTGTTGTTGTTGCAGTTAGTATTTTGATCAGTGCGTGGTATATAGAATCGCCGATAGTTCAAATTTTCTAACATAAGAACTGTCTCGTTTGGAATAACGTTTCAAAAGTTTTTGACTCACAATCGCCGAGATAAATATTGAATTGAATTAAACTTTGAATTTTATTTATAAGTTTTAGTTGAATTGATTTAAACTTTGAATTTTATTTATAAGCTTTAGTCTAAAATATCAACAGAGTTCGAAACTAATTTAGTTTCCATGTTACAAACATTAACGTCTTAACTTAGAGTCGGTTATAATATAATTATTTATTTATACAAAACAACAGGAGTATTTGTAAACGCTGGGGTAAAAAATGGAGCAAAATGTCGCAGTAACAGGATAAACAAAAGGATTGAAAATAAACAAACATTGATATGACGTCAAGCTGATTCCAACGATTTAGTAAATGCATTAAATCGTTTAGTGAGGTCTATATCTTCTTCTTTTATGTGTTTGCTAACTTATTTCACTTGTTTAAACTTATTTTTTGTATTATTGTGATAGCTATAGTCATTTATTCAACGTACCGTGTATGAAGATGGTAGAGACATGTTGGTTTTCACCTGGGCTCGTAATATTTTCTGTTGTTGTGTTATTATGAAATAAATAAATAAATAATTATGCAATTGAATAATTAAATAATTTAACAAAAAATAAAAGTTTTAGTTTCAATTGTTCAATTGTAAACTCCATTTTTCATATTGTTGAAAAACTTAAAAATATTAGTAAAAGACTCCATGCTACTCTGTTGAAACGATTTCATTCATTTGTAGGCTGCTGTTGTAATGTTGTTGCAATGTTGTTGTAATGTTGTTGCAGTGTTGTTGCAATGTTGTTGCAGTGTTGTTGCAGTGTTGTTGCATCATCACACAATCAAACAATTGTTGTCGCGACGAAAATTTTCGCAAATAATTTCATTTAAGGTGGCGACCAACATTGTTTTTTCTTTCTCCAGTCCATACGATTGTTGTTCTTTCTGATAAGTCCTAATTGACAAATCGCGCTGTTGCCATAAAGTTTCTCGAAAAATGTGGCCGAAGATATTTTTATACGTTCTTGCGTGATATCAAAAAATTGTTCACACATTTTTGAGAAAAAAACCCAAAAAGATGGATGTTAAAAGCAACAACAACTGCAACACTCCACTTGCCATGCTGGTTGGTGCAGTTGAAAGGACGGCATTGTTACTAGTGGTGATGCCGACGACCATAATGTAAGATATTCTTTAAATGATAAAGATGCTGATAAAGATGATGAAGGTGACGAGGATGATGAAGCTGATCGGCAGTGGCAAAACGTGATAATAGCGATTTGATAGCGATAAAAAATGATGACGACGATGGTGGCTGTTGCGCTCACGGCAGCGACTTTGACGACGGGTGAAAGATAAGACAATGGCTTTAAGGTCCATCCTACACGTTTTCAAGTTCTCTTTCAAGTTGAGTTTGAATTTGTGAACAGAACCACTTGCAGCGTACATACATACATGCATGCATACAGTTACGGGTTTTACATACATGCATGCATGCATACATACATGCATACATACATACATAGATAAAAGTTGAACTCGGAAACGATTGCATGCCTAACCATGGCTTGTTCATCAAAACGGGTTCGTACATACATGCATGCATACATACATACATACGTGCAAACATATATACATAAATATACACACTTATACAAACATACATACATACATACGCACCCAGATATAGGCACACTAATGCACTCCCTTTTACGTGAAATTTAATATAGCAACACGTTTATTTGTTCTCCATCAAATTAGATGTTGTTGTTTTTGTTGATGATTTTGATGACTTTTTTGTTGATTTTGTTATATGCCTACGTGAGATTTTGAGTTTTTTTGTTGATGTTGTTTGATTACATAAATGTTTGCTGTCTAGGGGTTATTAATTTATTACTGTTGTTGATGTTGTCTATAGAGTTTGTGTCATCTATTGACATCTGCATCTTTTGGTATTTCATTTTTTTAATGCTTTAATGTTAATTTAAATTTTTATTATTGTTTTTGTTGCAGCTGTTGTTGTTATTATTATTATTGTTATTTGGTGTTGTTGTTGTTATTTATTAATGGCTGCTTTGAAAATTTGTGCTTTGAAAGCATTAATTGGATTATGAACGTAAGAAGGGAAAGACGGGACTGATGTGATGATGTTTGTGTTGATGTGATGTTGTCTGTGTTGATGTCATGATGTTGCTTGTGTTGATGTCATGATTTTGTCTGTGTTGATGTGATGTTGTCTGTGTTGATGTGATGATGTTTATGTTGATGTGATGATATTTGTGTTGATGTGATGATGTTGTTTGTTATGATGTGATGATGTTGTTTGTTATGATGTGATGATGTTGTTTGTTATGATGTGATGATGTTGTTTGTTATGATGTGATGATGTTGTTTGTTATGATGTGATGACACACAACTCACTTTACTGACCGAACACAACTACTGGCATGCATTTGAAAGCATTCTACAAGTCATTTATAAACAGCAAATTCAATTTTAACAAATTTGTATGCAAATGAAATTTGCATACAAATTAACATTAACATTTTAACATCGGCATGCCAGAATGAGGATGGATATTTTGTGTGGTCAATGAATAAACTTGATAACTGGTCAGTAATTTTTATTTGCGGTGGTTGACGAAACGAATGCTCTTGTTTTACTGATTTTAAAAAGCTCAGTGCATTCACTTTTTCCATTGATGTATATATAATACATGTGTGTGTGTGTGTGTGTTTGTGTTTGTGTGTGTGTGTGTGTGCGTGCGTGCGCGCGATGGAAAGCGTATGGAATTATTATGGAGCGGATCTGGGATATTGTTTAAATAATTTTTGTGGTGACGTTAATGCAGCAGTTTTTCATGTTAAGGCATTTAAGCTTTTGATTTATTTCATCGGACCGCCGTGTTAGTGGTTGCTGGCCGAGTGAGAGGGATTTGTTAATTTTCATGTTGTTGTTGTGTTGGTTATGATGTTGTTGTTGTTGTGTTGGTTATGATGTTGTTGTTGTTGTGTTGGTAAGTTTTTTGAAAGATGAATGATATTTTAAACCATAATTTGAGTTTCTTGCACCAATATTATCTTACAAATGCTCAAAGACAAAAAATTATTTACTGGATGTGGATGTTAATTTGGACTGCCAGACGGTTTAATGGTTAAAAACGTTTCATCCTATGATTCAGCAATCGGGTTCAAACACAGAAAACCCTGCCAACATGTTTGATATGTTTCATGCCAGCACATATTATATCTTCAATGCATTGAGCTACGTATATTCACATAAGCGATGTCTGTATTGTTTATTTTTCAAAAAATTAATCAGAAGACAATGGCGTCAAGATATAAAATGCGAGTTACGTGCACTGGACGAAGACACATTCATACTCACAGGCTCATCAGGTTTATTGAAACTCATTCATTTAAAATTTCTCTCGGAAGCCGTTCTCTTTATTAAATCATTCTTCAAACAAAATCAGATAATTTCAAAAACTTGCAGTCACTGGCAATGTTAGTTGAAGAAATTCTAGCACATCCAAATGACTGAGAAATGAAGACTGAAGAGAACCTCATTGTGTGCAATTCAAACATTTCTCATTTGCCCATTCAGTGGTCATCTTCAGGTAGAAATAATCACGCTTCTTCCTTCTCTTTGTGTTTGTCTGTTTGTTTGTTTGTTTCTTAATCACAGTAAGTAATATTGTCTGCGTTCTTTCTGGCTCTTATATACATAAATATATATTCATGTAACAAATATTAGACGTATGCTATTATTTTTTACCAATAATGTACATAAAAACAACATGTGATAAAATTTAAAAATACATGGAGAAACACACAAATACATTCACACATATTTACAAACATACACAGATACACACCCATGTTAACAAACATGCATAAGCACATATTTTGTACACAGACTAAATTAGTCACAGGCGAAACAAAAGCAAAGCAAAACACCGTGTGTAGATTCCTCAGGACAAAGTGCAATTGTCCAAATATTATAAGCTGTCACTAATTAATATTAGCATTTTTACTAATCTGGTACCGACCAACCAACCATTGTGATTCAAATTGCTGGCAGTATTTGCTCTGCTTGAGATATTCAAAGAGAACACGACACGAAACATGGGCGTATTCCGCTGGTCATTCATTCATTAATTCGTTCGTTCGTTCGTTCATTCATTCGTTTATTCATTCGTTCGTACATTCTTTTGTTTATTGGTTTGTTCATTCATTCGTTCGTTCGTTTGTTTATTTATTCATTCATTCTTTGATTAATTTCTTCGTTCGTTTGTTAGTTCATTAATTCATTCATTCATACTCTTATTCAATAATCATATTGTGATATATATATATATATATATATATATATATATATATATATATATATATATATATATTAATTTGTATAATCTATAGCAGAGTAAATAAATTGCAAAATGAATTATGTATTATGCTTACGTGGCATAACGCCTCTGAAGATGACGAATCATTTCGATGTGTTTATATAGAGGGAGAGCCATGTGGCAGAGCTAGTAGTAGAAGTTAAATGGTAAGAATAACGTAATAAAATTTTCCAAACATTTAAATTAAGAATAACATTTTTTATATTTTAAAACGTTTTAAATTAGAAGAACAATATATTATTAAATTTTCAAACTTTACAAGTTTTTTTATTCCAAAATATTTTACTTTGGCAAATAAATGGAAGCAATAGGAGTCAGTTGTCAGTCGGCAGTCACACTGGTTTTGCTCTGTTCGGCTCTTTCCTATGCTGCTCCGGTTAACATGCATTTATTATTAAATATAAAACAAATTAATAAATCCTGTATATTTCAATTTATTTGATATTTATTTATATTTGTTTACATAAACACCAAAAAAGCAGAAACATGTGATACATATACAAATTAGGTATATACTAACTTACTAACTTATTGTCTGTTATTTTATTAAGAAATTTAGAGTGTGTTTTACAATTTTACATACGATTACATGGCACAATACGTTATTTATTTCATAATTTATTCAATTTATTTAATTTATTTTTATATTTTTTACGCAGATGGTTTCCGATGTGCCACTCCCAACGAATCCGAACCCTCTTGAAATGAATCCACCGCAAAATACCAACATTCCGACGCTCATAACCAACGAAATTTTTTACACAAACAATCCCACTCAATTCCTCAACAGCAACAATCCTGGCATTCTCACTTCATTCTTCAACAGCAACAATCCTGGCATTCTCACTTCATTCTTCAACAGCAACAATCCTGGCATTCTCACTTCATTCTTCAACAGCAACAATCCTGGCACTTCCACTCCATTCCTCAACAGCAACAATCTTGGCACTTCTAATCCATTCTTCAATCCTGTCACTCCCACACCTTTCCTCAACAGTAACAATCCTAGCACTCCTATCCCATTCATCAACAGCAACAATCCCGGTACATACAATCCCACTCAGTTCTTCAACAGCAACAATCCCACTACCTATAATGCTGCTCCTTACACAAATTATCAAACTGCCATAGTCACTGGTAACAAACCTGGACTAGGCTATCCAAACTCTAACACCGACAATCCTACACCTCTAAAGAACAACAATCTTCTGGCAAATAATTCCATTCCTAGCACCAACTTTGGCATGTTTTACACCAACAATCCCACTCCAATCATTAACAACAGTAATCCTGGAGTAAAGAATCTTTTCTTGAGCACCAACAACATCATGCCTTACACCAACAATTCAACTCCAACACCCGGTAAAAACCCTTTAACAAAAGAACCTCTCTTGAGCACTATCATTGGAATGTCATATACCAATAGCAGCAATTCGTCTGTCAAAGGTGTTCTTAATAATCCAAACAATTCGGTTGCTAGCACTGACAATCCTACACCATTCATCAACAGCAATAACTCTGCTTCACACAATCCAAATTTTAGCTCGAACAATGGAGTGGTTGTCGCAAACAATCCAATTCCAATTTTCATTAACGCTGGTTCCTCAAACAGCACTACCACAAATCAAAACATTGATGGCGTCGATGTCAGACCAAGCAGTTCCTCCTCGGCTTCGCCCATCAGCGTCGACCGTGGAACCTCTGACACCACTACTTCCAGGTCCGGGTAGGAGCAGACAGGCTTGCAGATGTAAGGATCCGTGTTCAAAATTTGGAGATTGGATTTAGGATAAATTGTTGAATTGATATTATTTATAAATTTCGAATAAAATCAACATTTTAAATTTTTCTATGTGATTTTGAATGTGATTTTTAGTATGATTTTTTAATTAGCAGTGTTTTGATTACATTTATTTTTTAAATCTGCATTTAAAGGCGTTATTGTAATTTATTATGTAATAAAAAAAATAGTAGATCGAACTTTTTAAGCTTTTGAATATTAAAAATCCGAAAAAAAATTAAAACTCAACCGATGATTTCTTCTAAGTAGAAATACATAAATTTTAAAGAATTAACAAATCCATTTACATAATTTGATCTCATTCGTTTCAACGTCAATAAATCAAAATAAATCGTGTTTATAAAAAAATTATATACATGATAATTAAGATTATTAATTAAAATTGTCAAATATATATTTTCGGAAAGTTTATTTCATCACATCCATCCACAAAAAATTATACAGATTCGTAAATATTCATACATTCGAGAACAATTAGGTGCATACTTAGACAATAAAGAGCAACCATATTATTTGTATCGTGTTTTAACAATTTCTGCGTTTTTCAGATTCCTATTTTAAAAGAATAATAAAGGTGATATCACATACCATTGTTAAACAAATAAGTACGAGATATTTGCACACAAAATTGCAATAAAAATTTCCATTTGTGAGTTATTTGCCTACATTTAAAGCTACTGTCCTTACATGAAACACATCTCTAGAACACGCATAGAATGTTGATTAACTCAATACAAAATGAATATAACCTTTGTAAAATAGGCATAACACAAACACACACAAACACACACACACAAACACACACGTCAGCTACTCGTGGTGAATGAAACTGCTTCCCTCAACACACCTGAAATTTCTTAAAAGGAATAGCACACGTTCACTTGAGTTTAAATCACACACACACACACACACACACACACACACACACACACACACACACACACAGATTGTGTCGTTATGTCTGACGACCGTACGAGCACACGAATGATTGAGTGAATGTACAGTATGTAATGTATGTACTGTACAAACACAAGAAATACACAATTGATTGCTTTGTTGATCAATAACTCATTGTTTACAGCTAAAATTTCAAACCTTTCACAAAATTGAAATTCTCTATTAATCATCGCTTGCAGATATCAGATGGGTGGCTTTGATTGGATTAAATTATCGCTATCTCGTTTGCATGAGAAGAATCAGTTGGATTGTCTCACAGTTGAATGAAGGACATTGAATTGTTTTACATCATGATGTCAGATTTTATTAATTTACCTTATTTTATTTTTTAAAGTTAGTCATTCAACCAAGTTGAAAAAACTGAATAAATATTTGTTTAGTAATGGTTGTAATGTAAACCAGCGATTGTATTGAGTAGCATTGGAAAATCTGGATTTTTATTTCATAGCAGCGTATAACCATCCCCATAAATTTTATTGAAAGCAAAAGCTCTACTGACATCAAATTCACAAACCACACACACACACTACTCACACACACCTCACTGCACACCACACACACACACACAAACACACACATTCATTATATTTCATAGGATTAATTAATCATCAAGTTGCGGTTGAATATTACTTGCAGTTGATTGAGTGATAACAACCAGAGCCAGTTCTTTCTGACAACTGGACGGCAGTAACAGGACGGGTTGATTCATGTTCCGGTCACATTATTTTTATTACTTATCTTCATTTCACAGTGCAGTCTAGCGTTTATTTTTAGGTACGTACTATTTAACAAAAATTTGATTCCATAATAACCTCTCTTTTCTCCTCAAAACGATTCCTAGTAGGTATGTAAAATTGAGGTAATATAATATATAACACAATTTGGGCAATTTGTTCACTCAACTTCAGTTGTTCATAAACACAATTAGGAGACGAAAACAGAAAATGCATAGCAGTAACTGCAGCGCTCAGCGAAATATTATAAGTTGCAATAAAATATAGTGAAAAAACATCGTTAAAAGAAAAAAACAACTTTTATGCAGTTTGAATTGGGATGGCGGAGGAATGAATGTAGGAAGTATGCGATGTAATAAACATGTGTAGTACTAAGTTTTAGTAAACACCTACAACATAGTACTTATCTTACAATTAAAGTACTACCTAGTGATAGACACGAATGCATTAAACAATACTTTCTTTAATAAACATGAATATATTATACAATATTTATATCAAACATGGATGTGTTATACAAAACTAAGGTCCTATACATACAATGCGACATGGTAATATAATGTAATGTAATATAATGGTAATATACATACATACATGGATGTTTTCTGGGTAGTTAAGTGCACCATACAATACAATACAACGTCATAATAAACACAGATGTACCGTGGCATGGTTTGAAGTTCTGTACTTCTGTAAGAGGAGATTTAAATTTATTGAAGTTCTTATTTCTTTCGTTTATTTTTTCGTTATTTGAATTTTTTGTTTAGTTGGTTATAATTTTTGAAACTTTTTTTGCATATTTTTCAAATAAAGTTCTTACATGAGGAACAGGCATGGAAACAAATGGAAGAAATTTAAAAATAAAGAATGGAATTAAGAATAAAAAATTTTGAAAAAATGGAAAACTTAATCTACCAAAGAAAAACTAATGTAGCTACGATAAGAAATGTTGCTTTTGATTTGTAAAAATAGATATTTAGTTTGAAAACAAAAATAAAAAACTCTTGAAAAATACAAAAATTAATCTACAAAGAAAAACTAATGCTGTTTAGATTATGAAATTTTTTTGAAAATTGTAGAAAAAAAAGTTATTAAGTTTGAGAAAATAGGTAAGTGCCTTTTTACATTGCTTGGATTATTTATTTAAAGTAGAGCGAATTTTTTTTAATTATATTTTATGAATCTCATTCAACTGGTAGCAATCATCATAAAATGGAAACGCGTGAAAAAGTGATTTGAGAACATTGAAATGCTTTCAAGAAATACAGGACTAATGTATCAAAGAGACGCTGCTGTGGGTTGAGTTGACAGTGTATTCCTCAGATAGAACCTTCTGATTGAGCGTTTAGACAGAAACATTTGTGTTCATATTTTGTTTTCCAAATTTAATTTATTTCAGAAGAGGTGAAGGTATGCAAGAAACGGTTCAGATTTGAAATGATGGTTATTTACAATTGGCTCTAAAGTAAATTAACTGATCTTACAGAAAACAGATTAAAGGATTAACGTGTGAAATTATATGCTCCTAAACTTACAGACATGGTATATACAATAATATTGTTATAAATATTGTTTTATTGTTGTTAGAAATCTGGAGTGTCAACCAAAGAAAAGAAGTGAATTGCACATTCCCCGAATGGCGAGCCACATGTTGTCTGCCACCAAGCTTGCCACGATTCTCATTTTAACGACAATTTAACTGTTTATATAATCATCAGACAGAGGAGGCATGGAGTTGAAAGAGTAACGTTGTAGCACACACAAACATCAGCTATGCACACGTGAACAAATTCACACATTAACAAACAGGCACGCAAGCACACATGAACGTAGGATCTCATCACTCAGACGTCTCGATGTCTCTGTCAGTGTAGATGAATAGCGTTTGAGGAACGGTTGGAGTCTATTGTTAAAATTTTTCTCTTTTTAATAACTCGGATGACGTGAGCTCTCACAATGCTTCGTTTTTACGCGCTGTGACGATGTTTGTTGAGTTTCTCGGAGTTGTTGTGCTGGTTTCTTATTTGTTGTTAAGATTTAGGATATGTCGTTGAGTTGAGTTGCTGCTATTTTATTATTTTTGGTGTTTCTGGACAATGTTAATCTTGTGGTATGTAAAAATCGTGATCTATATTCAGTTAGGTGAATTTTTGAGGTGTTGAAAAAATATTGTTGTTGAGATTTCAAATTGAAATTAAGTTAAAATATGTTCCCACCCACTTTTCAGTGGCACCACATTTATCAGATCCTAATCAGTCCGTAGACCTTTGATAACAAAAATTTTACTCTAAAAATCACGGGCATGATATTTTTAAAAGTTTTCCTAAAAATAATTTAATGAAATATTTTTGAAGAATAATTTGGATTTTTCATTCGTGAACTTGATCACACATTGTTGTTGTTGTTTTCAGTTGCATGTACCGATATAGTTCGCAACATTATTGAAAACGTAATGGCTCTCTTGATGTCGTAAAATGTGGCACTTGCATCTGCAGTTGCTGTTGAAACATCTGGACTGGCTGGTCTCCGTGATGATGATGATGACCCCAAAAGTATGGTCCATGCTCGAAACATGTTGCAACTATTTCACAATATTTCTTACAAGAGATATTTGTTAGAACGAATGACAACCGTACAGCATGCAACCAACCAACAAACAAACGAACCAACAAACAAAACAACAAACAAACAAACCAACCAACAAACAAATCCACCAACCAACAAACAAACAAACAAACATTCATGAACATAACTCGCAAGCAAACATCATATGATACAAACACACATGTTAAAAATAATATCGTCAGTTTTAATCAAAATTATTGCAATCCATAAAGTCCCTTAAAACATTCGATAGTCCAAACGCCAACACACACACACACACATTTATCACAAGCACATACTGAAACATTAGATACACAACAAAACACATGCATCTTAATACACACCAATGCACACAAATACACCTACACAATTACCCACACAAAAGTTATACACACGGAAGTTTTCGGGCTTGTTAGATGATCCCTCGTCTTAAGCAGTCACGTAAATTTACGGTCCTCACACGCCAACATCAACAAATGTGTTAACATAGCAACTGAGGCATGAACAACACAACGATCAACAACAACCAACAGCAACAACAACTCGCCGCAAACTTTTAGGTAATGCACGAGGCGAACAAAAACGCGTGCACTTTTACGTGCAGATAAGCCAACCCCAAACTCGTCACATCAACAACAACAACAGAACAACAACAACAGAACAACAACAACACAACAAACATACAACAACAACAAACATACAACAATTACACAACAACAACAACAAACATACAACAGCGACGACGAAAACAACAACACAACAAAACAGCAAACAAGCATGTATTTGCATTCTTCTGGAAGGCAACATGTGACTGCATTCGAAACAAAATCCCTACAAACATTAGGCAAACATGACGTCATAAAAATGAACGAACAAACAAGAAATACATGCTTCTGCAAGCTTCATACCGAACGTAATGAAGAAATATAAAATATAATAAATTGAAAATTATGTACACATTTATTATTTATATAAATATTCACTATACTATATTTATATTTGTTATATATGCATGAAGTTATTCAAACAATACTTATGTAAACAAAACGTTAACACTCATATTGAACACTTTACTCACATATTATACACACATACACATACTTGAATATTCGCATACGGACGGATGGATGGATAGATGAATGGATGGATGGATGGATGGATGTTTGATAGGTTGACGGATGGCTTGTCAACAGTGATTGATAACTTTGAACGCAAACGATTCTAAATACTTTGAATCATTTGATGGTGTTACTCTACGTTGTTGTTGATGATGATGATAATAATGATGATGGTAAAGATGATGATGACGATGATGATGACGATGATGGTAGTGATGATGATGACGACGATGTTGTTGTTGATGATGATGTTGTTGTTGATAATGATGATGATAATGATGATGATGAGGATGTTGCTGATGATGAGGAGGAGGAGGAGGAGGTGGAGGGGGAAGAGGAGGAAGTTGGTGACGATGATGATGACGATGATGGTCACGATGATAACAAAAATGACATCAATGATGAATGATTGCATGATGTTCATACTAGAGAAAATAATTTTAAATAAAGTGAAGATGAACGCGTGACAAATATGAAGGCTGTCTCCCTGCTTGGCAACCTGCTACTTTGCAGGAATGCCATCAACACTTATTTCTCACTCTTAAAAATTGTTTTCTTAAAAAAAAACAAACAAACACAAACAAACAAACAAACAAACCTCGACTGACCTCAACAACCCTTCATCCATTTATTACAAGTTCCTCAAGGCAAAATTTGGAGACATCATTTAATTATTTACGTGCTACGTCCCGCCACCGGGTTAACAATCAAACAAACAAACAAACAAGCAAACAAACAAGCAAACAAACAAACAACCAAACAAACAAAAAGTTTCATTTCAATTCGTTTTTTAAATTAGACTTAGATTTACTATTCCTGAGTTTCGGTGGCCGGCTATTTCAAACCTGGGGAGAAGCAATGTGCTGAAAACCAAGCGGCTTGAGAATTTTCATTAAGAAATGGAAAGGCTATTAAAAAAAACTGGACAAGGAAGTGGAATAATTGTTTTAAATAATAATGTAGCATCTGCTATCAGTTGGAAAAATATTTACCGAATTAAATGTAAGTCGGTTGTGTGTGTGTATCATTTTGTCTATTTATTTATTTGTTTGTTAGAATTGGTTCTTTTAACTATGATAATTATTTGTTACCAGTTGTTAGCTAACTCGAAATCTCCCGCTATTTCATCGTTACAATTTGGATGGATTCCTGCTGTTCGGTTGGATTAATGCATTGCAGGAACATTTGAAAACACACCGAATGCAATTATTTCTAATGATATGTCGTACAAACACGTGTTATAATAAACATTAGCCTGCCGAGTTTGCAGTTATTTACGTGGCTTAGTTCCCACGTCAACTTCTAATGGATCACGAAGGAGAAGGGGAGTATTTAAGTGGTATTTAAGTCTTCGATCTCTACTTGGCAAATAATTTTGAGTTTCATAAGCATACGCTGATCAAAATAACTTTTGTAAGAACTTAAAATACGTGAGAATCTTGTTTGTGACTGAATTGTAGCAAGATGAAGGTCTGCATGCTTGCCCTGCTGGTTGTTCTGCTTCTCTGGTCTTTCTCCGCTGAGGCTCTGCCGGTAAAGGAATTTTTTTGAAGTTTTCGAAACTGTTTCGTTAAACTAATATCTGAAACTATTATGATTGGGAATTATTTTTGAAAAATAGATTAATGATTTGAATAAAAAATGAATGTTATTGGTTAGTAAAACTTGGTGCAGAGCAAATTTGTAACATAAATTTAAACTTGAGAATTTAATTTTCGTCCCAGGTGACTCCATTCTTTACCAACCTACCGGCAAAGACAATTCAAAATAAAGGCACTCCCCCAAAGATGGCAACTTCAAAAATGCTCACACCAAAGGGAACCCCACCCAAAACTTTGATGAACACCAAATTTGTTACACCAAAAGTTTCAATTCACAGAACGTCTCATGCATATTGATGAACATCAGATTGGCCAGCTTTGTAGATCTGATGGATTCGAGGAGTTTTGTATTTTTAGGTTATTTTTACTAGAAAAACTTCTAATAAGAATAACTTTTAATTGAGGTAAATTTTATCAGGGTAATATTAATTAGAATTAATTTAATTAGAGCAACTGTAGTTAGAGCAGCATTTAACCGACCATTTTAACCTTTCATTGTTCTAGAAAAAATTATGAATTTTTATAAAAAAGATTTTTATAAAATATATATTATATATATATATATATCAAATTTACTTTATTCAAGCTATATAAAGACACTATTTTATCTATAAATATAGTTTTTTATTTTGATATTTCACGATGAAAAATTTATATCCGGTGTTTAATTTAATTTTACTTTAATTTCAAAGTAAATAAGTTTAATTTTATTTATTTTCTCATTAATTGCATGTTCCGAAACTGGATTTATTTTTGTTAAACGATAAATTTTTCATGAGAAACTGTAAAAAAAAACAATTTTATTAAAACTTTAATTCGAGCAATGTGTAGAACATATTTCCACTATTTAATAATTTCTAGATGGTTTTATCGTAAAAGCTTGCTTTTGTAAGAAATAAAGTAGACCCGCATTCAATCGAGGATCTTGAATTAATAATTTAAAAATTAAATTATTTAAATTGTTTAATGAAAAAGGACAGAGGCGTAAAATACACAAAAAGTAAAGGAAAGAAATTCATAGTTGTCGTTGGAATGCGTGTCTCCCCCGAACTTCTGGTAAATGCCAGTACTTCTGCCCACCGCAAGCTTTTTCTGCAACGTTTGTGCTGCCAACCAAGCTTGCTAACAAACTCCGCCGTAATACACTTTGTGTGATTAATTTAAATTTTTTTTAAAGTATGTCAGAAATATAAAAAGAATTTAATGTTATATGTTTACAAAATGCCTTCCGTTCCAGTCAAATAAATTTGAAAAAATGAATTTCAAACATGTGATCCGCGCATGTCATGCTCACCTCCAGTCTATCAACCCATCCACATATCGAACCAAATTTCCTCTTGTCCAGTCAGCTACATGACGTCATTTGTTTCCGGTCATTCTCTTCTTTTTTGCATCCATGTACACACACACCACACACACACACACACACACACAACAAACACACATAGATATATAAACACGCACATATGGATACATGATTATGTAAATAAACAGTTACATTATTAAATTAAAAACACAAATGGATGGATGAAAAGATTAATGGATTGACGAATAGATTGATGGATGAATGAATCCATATATAAAGAAAAAGATTGAAGGATAGATAGATGCATGAATAAATGGATAAATTGATAGATTGATGAATGAGAGGATGAATGCACAACTGGATGAACGGATGGAAAAACAGACGAATGGATGGGAAAATGGAAACTTTCCTTTCGTGATGGAAAGATGGGACAGCACCTGTGATGGATGGCTAGAAATACAAGCAGACAAAAAATTGCATGCGGCCATGCAAATCATGAACCTCACGTAATTAACACACCCCTTTTCATCCTCACTCTCTCTCTATGTAGGAAGAAAATGAGAAGATATAAGGTGAGAGAGTGAGTGAGAGAGAGAGGGAGAGAGAGAGAGATTTAGTAAAAGTGTACTTTGTGGAAAAAATATGTTCTTTCTCTTTCACACACACATTTTTTTGACTGTCTTACACCATCTTTTTCACTTATCTTTCTATCAAATTCACACACAAACACCCATAAACCACGAAACACACACACACACACACATGCAAACAAACATACACACACATACAAACAAACATACACACACATACAAACAAACATACACACACATGCAAACAAACATATACACCAATAAACACGCACATCAACGAATACACACTGGCACACTTAAACAAACACACACGTTCTCACTTCGCACACACATACTCAATACAACTGCATGTTTTCAACATCAATTTATCAAAACAAAACTCTCCTACCAACAACTCTAGGTGTGCTAATTTTTGTGGGCAAAAATTTTTGGCGTAAAGGTAAAATGTTGGGTGTGAAATTATTTACGACATTCTGCAAAATTTCAATAAATATATGACAGCTTGAAAGTTGTGTGCCATACGCTGAAAAGTTCAAACGTAAGAAAATGCGACGAGAAAAATTTTTTAAAATCGTTGTGGTGAAGAATCAGGGGGAGTTTTAAATTTAAATATTATTTACAGAAGCAACAACAAACCCAACAACAAACACAACAATAATAAAAAGACACAACAACAAAAAGACACAACAACAAACACGACAACAACAAACACAACAACAAATACAACAACAACGAACAGACACAACAACAAACACAACGCCAGTCCCAAATTTTTATTTTTCTTACAATCAATAAGTTCAGCACAAAATATTCAAGAGTTTTTTGCGACAAGATGGTAGAAAGAAAAATTCTCCTGTGTGGTATTAAAATATTTTGTCAGTGATATTTGGTTTTTAAGTTTTAAAATATTTACCTTTTTTATTTTTAACTAAAAACTCATCCTTGAAGACAACATCATAAACTCACAAAAAAATTTGTTGACTGTAACATTTTCATAAACTTGGAAGCAATCAAGCCATTAAAATAACCACCATCTTATTTTTCATTATCAACTTTAACGCAATCATTATCACTATCATATTCGTCGTCGTCACCATCATCACCATCATCATCATTATCATCATCTTCTTCTTCATCATCACCATCATTATCATCACCATCATCATCTTCTTCATCATCACCATCATTACCATCTCCATCATCACCATCGTGACAAATGTTCTGCCTTGAGACGAGCATTCTATCTTTCAATTTCATTATCACGAACGTGTTCTTTTTATATTTTTTTCTCGCGTTGCTGCAGATGATGATGGTGATAGAGAAGATGGTGGTGAAAATGATGATGATGGTGGTGGTGATGATGATGATTGTGGTGGAGATGATGACGATGGTAGTGGAGATGATGATTGTGGTGGAGATGATGATTGTGGTGGAGATGATGATGGGGGTAGAGATGATGATGGGGGTAGTGATGATGATGATGGTGAAGACAATGATGATGCTTATGGTGCTCCAAAAATAATGAATAATGATTATAGATGATGATAATAAATTACAATGCAGTAAAAATTTCGCGATGAAAATGATGTAATGAATATTAATGCGATGAATGACGTAATGAATGTATTGAATGATGACGTAATAAGGTACGTTTGAAACAGCGTAGAATGAATTAATTTACACGACCACAACCACCTCCATTAACTCCATTTCCACAGCGCGCCCTGCAATGAAATTGTACAAAATTTAAACGAATGCACTTCATTAAGGCTTGCCAAAAGCGGCCAGCAAATATCAATAAGTCAGAGGAATTCGTTTAATTTATAAATTAATGACACTCCAAAGGACTTGGTTGCACTGGTCGTAAAACAGGCTGGCATGATATCAGGTAGTGAACTTCAATTCAAATTAACGTCGCCCGTTGCGTGCTTTGTATAAATTTTTATTTTGCAAAATGTTAATGTTTTGTTGAAACCGTTTTTCTGTCCGGGGGACTGTTGGTTGAAAGGGTTTCTTTCTTATGTACTTACATTTGCGTGCATACAAGCATGAACTTATTTTAAACACATGCAGTGGCACATTAATGTTACCCATGTAAGTATTGTTGTAAACTTTAACATTCGTCACTACCAACACAGATGTTATAACTTCAAAGATTTCAATATTTCCAGAACTGTTGTAGCTTCCAACGATCGTCAAGTGTTCGTTATTCCGTAGGTTCATGATTTTCGATATATGAACACAACTGCTTAGAACGTAACTTTGGTTGAACGTTTATTTGAATGCCAACAGTAATAGAATCACTAAACCAATCTAAGCAACTGCCTAGATCACATTTACGACTTCTCTTAAAACCTCGCTAGCTAGTTTCGCCATTCACCTCGCTTTTACAAAACATTTTTAAAATTCAAAGACTACAAATATAGCAAAGATTACAAATAATCAAGATAATAATAAATTAAAAGTAAACATATATAGCGCAATTCAATCATTCCCGCGGTTATTACATTACCCCTACCTTAGCCTGTTCGTCCCTAACTTCTGTACCCCGATGAATGAGGGTTGACTTATTCAAGTGGATGACTTTCATTTTTACCCGTGGTTTCAGTTCCTTGAGCCATAAGTAGCCATCGTGATGTTTTCTTGATTTTGTTGGCACTTCAACCAAGTGCTTTCTTTCTATTGAGTTTACAAGATGTATCTATGATGCATGTTGTTAGATGGATTTCTATGATGCATGTTGTGTAAAGTTTGATGTTGACATCTTTTCTGTCGGTTAGGGATAGAGCGATAAAAAACTCGTCATCATTAGCAATGAATCCGTAGTTGATGTCATCATTCAAGTAGATGAGGACCAAGTTTTCTTTCTAGGGGGGAGACTGGAATGTATTTCTGAAAATTTGAACCATCACCGTTTTTGTCCTAAATGGACATCCTCATTAATATCACCCTCAAAGGCATCGTTACCATTTAAGAAGACAGGCCAGTTATCGGCAGCCAGATCCGCATGGTAGTCCCACTGCATATCAAAAGTTTCCAAGTCTTTGTCACTGCTTCCAAGACCTTCATCGTCGCGTTTGTAATCAGTTTTATTATTACAGTAACAACTTTCTTTCTCCACGACAACACGTGCACAGCAGTGGAAATTATCCGTAGGAAGGATTGACTTGCGATGTAATTGTAGGTAGTTGAATTTTCTGATAAGATGTCAGAATGTTGTTTAACCGTTGTTGGTTTGGTTAGGGCACAATTTTCTCAAAAAGTTCTCAAAAGAACCCTTAAAATAAGTAGATATAGTTAAATAACTAATATATATTAACTCAATAATAAACAAATTTAATGAATAAATATTCCATTTTAGCTACGAAGAATAATGAAAGTATTAATTTTATATTTTTAGATCTAAAGTTTTATTGTTCCTTGCGATGTTGGCTTCTGTTTACGCTCACACATAGCTCTCGGGCAAAAAGGATTGTTACGACACATACTCATTGTGTTGTTGTTGTCGTTGTTGTTGTAGTCGTTGCTGTTGTCCTTGTTGTTGTACTGTAAGTGTAGCTACTTCAGCCTAAACAAAAACGCTTCATCAGACAATGAACAAAAAGTTACATAGTCGAGATAGAGAAAGCTTTACGTCATAGGTGGCTAGCTATTTTTGGATAGTAATAATAATAATATTATTATGATTACTACTTCTACTGATATCTTTATCACAATTGTAGTTGTTGTTATTGTTACACAACGATAATAAAATAATATTATAGGCAAATAATGTAAGTAGTTGTAGTGAGAATAATGATAACAATTTAACAGAAATAACCATAATAACAAAAAATCATGAGTATCTGCACTACTACTACTACTACAGCTACTAATACTACTACTGCCACAACTCTTGCTTTTACTACTACCACCAACCACCACCACTACTACTACTATTACTACAATTAGAAATAGTACTAAAAATTTTATTACTGAAAATAATAATAATGAGAAAAATAAAAATTAGTCAATTTAAAATTTCTTAAATAACTTACAGTTTAAAATAACTTATCGTTCAAATGCTAATGATGCTCGTACATCAGCTAAAAAATAATTTTAATGTTTGTATTTCTTTAACAATTGTTGGACATTTAATTTATTTAGAAAACAATTAATTTTAATAAATAAGAAATAAATAAATCAATAAATGAATGAAAAAATTAAAATTTATAAATAAACTTCAATAGAAATATATATATGTATATAGATATATATATTTATAATGATATATATTAATAGACAATAATATATAACTATATATAACAAATAAAATAAAAATAATAAAATATAATAATATTAATATACAATAATATATGACAATATATAATGGTATAATATAATAACATATAATGGTAAATAGCATACGCAGTTACTTGAAAATAGATTTAAAAAAAACTAGTCATGCCATAGCTGAATGTTACAGTCGTGACAGGTATTAATATAAAGCATAATGAATAATGAAATTATCAATAAAAAATAATAATAAAATAAAATTATCAATAACGACAAATTATGATGAAATTGTGGAATATAAGCAATAGCAAAACATGCGTTTAAAAATTAGATTTCATTTTCAGTTCAGCCATCCAATGAGAGAGAATGAGAGAAAGAGAGATAGAGAGAGAGAGAGATAGAAAGAGAGATAGAGATAGAGAGAGAAATAGAGAGAGAGAGAGATAGAGAGAGAGAGATAGAGAGAGAGAGATAGAGAGAGAGAGATAGAGAGAGAGAGATAGAGAGAGAGAGAGAGAGATAGAGAGAGAGAGATAGAGAGAGAGAGATAGAGAGAGAGAGATAGAGAGAGAGAGAGAGAGATAGAGAGAAAGATAGAGAGAGAGAGATAGAGAGAGAGAGAGAGAGAGATAGAGAGAGATAGAGAGAGAGATAGAGAGAGAGAGAGAGAGAGAGAGAGAGAGAGAGAGTTTTGTGGGTGAGTAATTGCAGTTGAGGTGACAAATCAAAAAGAAAGTTATTTTCGCTGATGATGATTCATTTCCTCTGCCTACGGCTTGCACAATTCAATCGCTACTACTACTACTACTACTATTAATAATAATAATAATAATAATGATAAATAATAAGAATAACAATAATACTGTAACTACGACTACTGATGCTGATTATTTATTATTATTATTATTTATTATTATTATTATTATTTATTATTATTATTATTATTATTATTTATTATTATTATTATTTATTATTATTATTATCATTAATTCATTATGTCTTATTATTATTACTACTACTCTAATACTACTGCTACTACTACTGCTACTGGTACTACTACTACTGCTCTACTACCACTAATGCTGCTAACAAAAAAAAATAGTAATAAAAAAAAATAGAATAATAACAATAAAAATGAGAACAAGAATAATAGTGATGCAAAGAATAAGATTAAAAGTAGCAGAGGAAAACTCGCTCGCTGCTCAACTGCGTCGTGGTAGAATCGAATGACGCAATTGGCTAGCTGACAATCATTGAAAACATCGAAAAATCCCCTTTTAAATTTTCTAGAGGCTTGTTACCAGAATTTGTTCTTCATATTTGTTATATATATAATTATATTTATTTATTTTTATATACATCTGTATCTAAATGTTTGTATGTGTGTGTGAATTTTTCGTCTATAAATAAACACTGCTTAACGTCGTTAAATAAAGAAAGATTGATCGCCTAAGTAGATTAAGAAGATTATCAATTTAAAGTAATTTTCAAGTTTGAAAATTGTAGGAAAAAGATGAAGTTTTCTTTGTCCGTGATCTTGATGGCAGTCTTGTGCTGCTTTGCTCTGTCAGACGCCGCACCGGTCAGATTTTGGTTTCATTTTGTTTTTCTTTATTTATGTTCAATTTATTTAATTACTTAATACACATCACTTAGTTTGTTGAGACGCCAATGTTTTAATTAACTTTTATTCATATATAACCAAGTTTTTTTGTATTTAATCCCGTGTTCATCAGATTATATTTGTAATAAAAATTATGTTGATGTTTTTCAGACCTTCAAAGTCAAGTTTGATAAGCTTTTTACTATAAAGATTCCTTACAAGATCCCAACCATAAAAGTGGACACCCACTTCTTCCCCATTGACCCCCCCATCGTTATCCCGGATGAGGTCATCATTCCCGGTGTTGTGAGAACATGAGGATTTTCGTTTTGGAGAAGAGATGATCATGAAACTACTGTGCAAAACTCAATTTATTTCTTTAAAATTAACAATTTTTGATGTTAAACTAATTGTTAATGATTTAATATTATCTTAAAACTGATCAACTGATTTGTTTCAAAAGTGTTTGACCATTGTTTGTAAAAAAAATTACATGCTACGTATATTATATAACTTTAACAATTTCAAATGTTTTTTTTTGTTTAAGTAATTGAAGGAGGATTTTGAAATAAAGTTTAATTCACATTATTGTGAATTTAATTTATTTCATGCGTTGTTTTATTTGAAATAATTTTTTTAAGTTTTAGTTGGTGTGGTAAAGTTTTATAAAGCATTAGTTCTATTGTAATGAATAACTATACCAAGGACAAACCTTTTTGCTGTTAGGGCCTCATTATTTAACCTAGCACGAACGTTTTTTGTCATCATTTCTATTTTCCATAATTTTCATCAATAATATTCTGCAGCCACTCAGCAACAACACTCAACAACAACACTCAACAACAACACTAAACAGCAACCTTCAACAACAGCAGCAACTGGGCAAAAAACAAGAACTTTCCGGTCAACACATGTCTCTCAGAAGCTATCAAGCAAGGATAGGTTTCACGGTCGAAGATGGATGTTGACTGTGTGGATTCCACATTTATGACTGGAGTGCCAAATGTTGGTGATGGAGAAACACACATATGGTTTGGGAGAGAGACTGGAAGAATTACTGGAAAAATATTTGGAAGTGGTAAATTTGGTGGAGCGATACTTGGAAGGCTATGAGCAACTACTTTTACTACTACTACAACTACAACAACTAAGACGATGACGATTGCATTATTAATGATTAAAAATCAACATTGTCAACAATAACAACAACAATAACCATAACAATAACCACAACAATGACAACAAAATTGAAAACAACAACAACATTAAAAATAACAACAACATTGAAAATAACAACAACAACAGACCGCAATGACACATGCACGCAGCAGAGTCACGTGAGCATCCTGTGTTTATTTATATTTTTAATTATCCATTATATGAGATCCCGTAGTAATGTTGGCTTATTTATGCGAGGTTCTGCTACCTCCGACTGTGTGCATTCCTGTTGTAAATTCATCGGAGGAATATCTGTAGAAATATTTTTGTATGAAATAAACAAGAATACGAAATAAATGAAATAATCATTAAATAACAAATCCTGAAAAGAAACAGCATTGTAAGAGGATAAATTAAGCCAAAATCTTTTAAGAAATCCTAAGTTTAATTATTTAAAGAACAAAATACATTATAAAATTGAAGTGAAGTATAGTGTCAAAAAATTCACAATTTAAAAAATAGTAAAATAGCTACTCAAGAACTGAGAGAAGAATTTTTTCAAAAACCCAACACTTGTTTAAATTTGAATCATTCTAGCATAAATGTAGAAACTGCTAGATATAGAATGTGCCGAATTTAAGTTTTCATTAGAAATTTAAATAGTTAGAGCAATAATTTAAACAAAAAGTAAACTAGTTTGAGAAAAATTTAAAAAAAAAGATACATAATTAGGCAAATATATTTTAAAATTTAAAGTAGTTTGAACAAATAATTTTTTTCATAATATTTTATCAGTTTCTAAGTAGGCAACATGCAGCAATGGTCGTTTCGATGGTCCAGATGGTATGATTGTTGTACGTAAATATGTCACCGTAAGCAACTTTCGGGTGATCTGTTTCAATTGGAAGATGAATCCCACCTCTCATACGGTTGGTTTCAAATCTATAGATACATTTTTGAAGGACATTTTGAAACATTTTTTCAAATTTTAGAGATTTTGTGCATATCTGTATGCATACACGTGTGTGTGTGCGTGCACGCGTTATATATATATTGTTAATGCGTTAAATATGAATTGTGCGTGTGTGTTTTAAAGGTTAATCTTTGAAATGCTTCCATAGACTGACTGGCGGAGTAGATGAAAAAAAAAAAAAAAAAAAAAATTTCTAAAAATTTTGTCCAAGAATGAAACGACCACGCAAAATAGTCTTCTTTATTTTTTCTGAATAAAATGTTGAAAAATGTTTATCCCCATCATCAGTCATCATCGTTATAGTCACCATCATCACAATCATCATCATCATCACCACCCTCATCATCATCATCACCATCATCATTATCATTATCGCCGTCACCAATTTGTCATCATCCTTCATCATCATCAGCTCACCACCATAAAATAATTAAACGAGAATCTGTATCTACCCAAAAAAATTTTTCATTTCCTGGCAATCAAATAGTCCTAATGAACAATACCTGGCTTCAAAATAATTTAATTAAATACATGTGTGCGTGTCTGTATGCGTTCATGTATATATGTCTGTGTGTGTGCATGTATGTGTGCCTGAATGTGTGTGTGTGTACTATTTATGCTTTATAGAAAATTTTTTGTTTCGATTTACGATTTGACTTCATGTAAAAGTTTGTATTGATCTCACAGTTTTTGACGAAGTGTCTCTCGCAATTGCCAGTGTGGTTATTTCATTTTTCATTTGCATCAACCTAACAATTGAAACAACAACAAACGAGTTGCACGAAGATATTTAAAATTAATCAACCATTTAAATTCACACAGCGCCATCCACCTTCAGCTTAACCGGCTTTCTTCCTTAAATTTGCAAACTGTTACCATCTGGAAACTTTCGTTGAAAATCACCAGATGTGAATGAAAAAATGTTGAATAGGAAACAAAAATATGAACATATGCAACGTCCAACACGGTACAATTAGTAAGTCAAACTTAAATTAAAATGTTTATTTGGAAGTTTAAAAATAAATGAAAATGCATTTCAAATTCATGATTATTTTCAATAGCGGCAAAAATAAAGTTTAGATGTTTTTCCATAAAATAAATAATAAAAACGAAAAATATTCACCTATACTTTTCCATTCAATTTTGTCGTCATTTCGTGCTGGACCACACTATAATGTAATCATTGTTACATAAACATATAACATCGCGTCGTAGCATCATTTCTATCACATTATGACATCATAGTCACATTTCATCATCGTAATATCTTCATCACGTTGTTAACAAGCTAATATAAACATTATTTATTCCCATTATTTATTCCCATTAATATCACCTAATCATCAGCAAATATCATCATCATATATCATCACCATATATCATCACTACATTATAATCACCATATATCACCCCCATATATCATCACTACATTATAATCACCATATATCACCCCCATGTATCATCAGTACATTATAATCACCATATATCACCCCCATGTATCATCAGTACATTATAATCACCATATATCATCACCATATATCATCGCAATATATCATTGCTATATCACTACCACATCACTACCATATCATCTTCACCATATATCATCACCACATCACACCACACCGCATATCATCTTCGCCATATATCATCACCACATCGCATTACCCTTTAACAAGCAGGCAGGCAAGAGATCGATAGAGTGGAGAGAGAGAGGGAATTCTAGATGACTTTAAATATTAAAAATTTATCATGAAGATGATGGCGATGGTGAAGATGATGACGATGGTGAAGATGGTGAAGATGATGACGATGGTGAAGATGATGACGATGGTGAAGATGGTAAAGATGACGACGATGATGAAGATGTGGAAGATGACGACGATGATGACGATGATGAAGGTGATTAAAATGATGATTAATATAACAAAAATGATAATGATAGCAATAAAGACGAAGACGATGATGATGATAACGCTGACAAAGATCATGACAGTGAAGATGGTAATGATGTTGACGATGATGATTAAAATGTTGACTGTAGTGGTGATGATGAGGGTAACGCTGATGATGGGAACGGTGATGAGAATAAAACTTCTGGTGATGGATATAAAAAGGTTACTATTAAACACACATACAGACATACACATAACACGTACACACAAATACCGTACACACAACACAAACACACAACACACACACGAACACGCATATTTAAACATTCAAACATTTTAACATTTCATTGGAAGAAAACCAAAAGCCCATTGAGATTTGTATGGCCATCAGATAAAGTGGTATGAAAATAATTCCAATAAAAGAAAAGTAAAAGTTAAAAAATTTTACAACAAAATGTCAAAAACTGAACAAACTGTTCTAAGAATTTTTAAAATTAAAAACCAACATAAACAAGTAAATTAACTATTTAATAATTAAAAAATAATAATGAATTTTCAAGAAAACAAAAAATAAAAACAAATAAAATCTACCTTGTCGAAATCATTTATATACACAGCTTACTGGCTTGGATATTAAAATGAAACTTTCTCAAGGCTTACTGCTATCTTATACATGGATATCCATGGTCTCATGACAGATATTAATGACCTTTTAACCCAAAATTTTGACCTTTTCTCCCAAAATTTTGACCTTTTCACCCAAAATTTTGACCTTTTCACCTAAAATTTTGTCCTTGAAACTGATCTGTCAAACACATCTACGTGACTGTATTGGATATTTCTAGATGATTCAAATTTAAGAATAGTTTTGGTAGCATTAGTATATACATAATATCATTCGAATCTATGGTTAAAACCCATATACACGCATACATCGTTGTCCATCCATTCAATGTTGAAATAGAGTGCAATGGAATGCACGCCGGCACTATGTATAAAATGTTTGGAAAGAACTGTGTGGAAGAATACACACAAAAATGAAGTCTCAAAAGATCTGACTCTTAATTTCTTTGTAATTTGATGGGATTGTCTAAGTTTTAGACCATCAATAGAAATTACTTTCCGTTAAATTAATCTCAACCAAATATAATATAATTCATTAACATATAATATATCTATACAAAAATAAATTATGTTGATGAGTTGTATTTATGTAATAAAATGAAAACATTCTAATATTATATATTAATTTTGAATGGGAAACTGTTGAATTCACTACAAGAACTGGAAAGCCATTATTAACAATGTGTCGCTTACGGGCATCGTTGTTAATGTTCATTTCATGTGTCGTTCTTGTTAGTTGTGACAACAAAAATTACGTCATCAACAACAGCATCAGCAACAACAACATCAGCAACAACAACATCAGCAACAACAACATCAGCAACAGCATCAACAACAACAACCACAACCTCCATCAGTTCAATTCAAAGCATCGACATCGGCATCGTAACGTTAAAAGACACAACCAACTCAACAAAAACATTCAACACGCCGACAACAACAACAACAATAATAATAATAATATTACCAGCAACAAAAACTTCCTCACCAACAACAATAACAATGATAATATTAGCAACAAACATCTTATAACACCTCTCATATTGTACCAAACAAAACAGCAACAAAACTACAACCAATCATTAACGTCAAAAACAACCAACAACAACAACAACATCAATCACAGGCCTCTCTTCTTGAATCCCAACACTAACAACAACATTAACTCCAATATGAACAACTACAACAATTATTACAACAATAAATTTAACGATGACGTTAACGATATCTACAACAACAATATAAACAACAACAACAACGTAGACAACAACATCAACAACAACAACAGCATCAACAACAACAACAACAACGTCAACAACAAAAACATAAACAACAACAACAACGACGACGACGACAACAACAACAACATTAACAACGACAACTGTGTTGTGAGCAGATTGCACAAAGGATGCAGTTGCTTGCGATACAACGACAACTTCAGCATCAACTGTTCGGCCGTGGGACTCGTTGGCATTCCGAAGCAGTGGATGGAAGTCGGACTGACAAGCAACCTCATCACAACACTCAACCTGGAGAAGAATAATATCGAGGTGAGTTGTTGCTGGTGGTTGTTGTTATTATTTTGTTGTTGTTGTTGGCGTCGTTGTTGTTGTTGTTGTTGTTGCTGTCATTAGCTTACTCGCCGAATCATCTTTATTTATATCGATCAGATGTAATTTTTAAATTTTTATTTGTTTTGATCCATCTAATTTTTATCAGTTTTAATAACTTTGTATGTATTCTAGCGAGTTATTCCATTGATTTCAATGAAAACATTCTTGCAATTGGATATTCATGTTATTTCAAACATCCAATATAATCTTGAAACGCACAGAGACTCAAAAATAGGTAGAACACTGATGATGACATGCAAATTTATTTTTGTAACATTTTTGTAAGTTGAGTAAATTTACACATATTTTAATATTTATTCCAATACTCCAATACGTTACTTTATTTGCAAATAATTTCACTTACCGACACTTTAATGTGGTGTTTGTTTTTGTCAATGCAAATATAAATAACTCTCTCTCTCTCTCTCTCTCTCTCTCTCTCTCTCTCTCTCTCTCTCTCTCTCTCTCTCTCTCTGAGTGTGTGTGTGTTGTGTGTGTGTGTGTGTGTGTGGTTGGTGTGTGTATGTGTGTGTGTGTTGTTGAAAGGTTCTGGTAGTTTTAATGAATTTGTGCATCATGGTTAAGCTCTGAGGCAGTCAGGTAATGTGTTGTATCAAGTAAGGGGCTTGGCGGAATGAATGTGCAGTGCGATTGTGTGTTGTTGTTCACGAAAGGTTTGTTGATGGTGTTTTGTTGTTTGTGAATGTTGATGTTGTTGTTGTTGATGTTTTTGTTGATGTTGTTGATGTTGTTGTTGATGTTGATGATGTTTGTAGATGTAGTTGTTGTTGTTGATGTTGTTGTTGATGATGTTTGTAGATGTTGTTGTTGTTGATTGTTGTGCCATGTTGTTGAAGTTGCGTTTTTCGTTGTTTCCAGTTTGTTTTGTTGGTTACTTCGTACATTTTTTTCCCTCATAATGTTTATGTTGCTCCATTTTTGATAAAAAATTGTATGCCGCCTAATCTAATCTTTTGTAATTTTTCTCAGGCGTTTTGTTATAATTTCTTAGTTTATGTTAACCAAGTTGTTGTTCATGATCTTTATGTTGTTGTTTAGGCTCCGGATGTTGGTTGTATTTATCAGGCTGTTGATTATGGTGCAGTGTTCTCATATTAATTGTGTCTGTGTTTATGTGGAGTTTTGTTCTCTGTGGATCTGTGGTCCATGTTGATTGCCATGTTTATCACCGCAGTGTCTGTTAAGCTTTTTGTGGGGTCTTTGTTTATTTTGATCGTTCCTGCTTTTTACGCAATTCTTGTTTACGTTATTAGTTTTCTGCCTTGTTTAACATGTCGTTGATGTTCGTGATGTTTGTATGTCTGTATTGTTCGCCCTGTTCAATGTTTCTGTGGGTTTTTTTGATTTTTTGCATGACGTCATAACATATAGTCTGCTTATTTATGTATTGAATTTTCTATGGAGCGAATTATATAAATTGAATATGGTTTTGTTTCTATTCTCCTATTTTGAAATATACCACTTAGGTATGTGGACACTGTTAAGTTTTAACACACATTTAACACTTCGTCTGCTTCCACACTTGCTCGTTCGCTGCTAGTGACATCAGTTCTCTTTCCCAAATAAATACCAAACTATTAAACCTATAGAAGTAAATTCGCACGACTTCTCATCTCAAGGTACGACTGCTTCCAGCTTCATCTCATTTTTTTATGTCCAAATCTTCTGTCGCTCCATCGAATCTCCAAGTACATTCAATTCCCCACAGCACAATGAAGTTCAACAATCGTTCATTCGCTTAATTTTTTTTCAAAGACTGCAACTTCTTTTCTGTTTAATAAGTTTTAAAGAGAAAGTTGAAAGTTGCAAAATATTTTGAACAACAATGAACTGCAAACAAATGTACGACAACACCTGCTCGCTGGAGATGACGTACTTCATATTCAACTCTATTCCTACTTAACATTGAAAGAAAGACCGTTGACAAGCTGCTAAATTTTTATGCGAAAAATCTGACGAGTAACTAACTTATCCTGGTTGAAACATAATTATTTAGTTTAATTCGTAAGTTAACAACTTCACATCGTAACTTGTGTTTCCATTGGAGCCCATCTCAGTCCAACATTACACTGTACCTGCGTTAAGTTGAAGCAATCGATCGTTATTTAATTCAATTACAAGCCGTCAACAGTGGTCACGTAGTTGAGGGTAAGTGCGTCTAGGGGCAGCTGAAGTGCGATGATGCAATTTGTGGCATGTTGCACTGCATGGTCTGTTTGTTGTTATTGTTTAGTGGCATGGAAGCCCGCTGGACCTAGGTTCAAATGCCGTGTTGGCTGGAGTTGGGCAGAAGGATGTGTTGTGATAGAATGAAATGTATCAGCGGGGGTCGCCAAAACTCATCGAATTATTTTCTGAGGAGAGAGGCAGACTTAAATTTGCTTAAAATATTTCCGCTTGCCACTCGACTTTTTGTAAACTTGCCTATTGAACCAAAGGTTTATTTTACAAGTTTAACAAAAATTTAATTGCTGTAGAAAGGACTAAAAGAGTTTCGAGTCCAAATTTTTACAAACTTATATATAAATTTCGTTCAATTTAGCCTTATCCCAAACAATATTCTCAATTTTGGGGTAAGCTTGAGACATCGTAGCCACTACCCTTCGCCCTGCCTCTGAAATGTATGCAGAGAAAATTGTGCAAGGAAATGTAGATGGAATGTCTAGCAGTGAGTAAGCTAATAATGCATGTTCATCATAAATATGCTTAAAATATTATTTGTTTGAAGTGTACACTGCACGTTAAACACGATAAGTTAAAATGGGATGGTAATCAGCTGTCAGTCACTCCAACACGGCGAACTCCCAATCGCTGTGTGCTACATGCAGTGCGAGAATTATTTGACGATGCGGCTTGTAAGTGCCTTTCTTGTTGGATGTCTTTATAATGTATACAATGAAATATTCATTTAAAACTACACGTTGCTGTTTGGCGGGCGAAGTGATATTTTTTTTCAAGGAAAGGAGTGGAAAGTCGAATTAAAATTTATGTCTTAAGGCGTGTTCTTTAGTAATAGTAGTTATAACACTATCTAGATGTAGTGGTAGAAAAGTAGTGGCAGCTGTAGTAGTAGTAGTAGTTGTTGTTGTTGTTGTTGTTGTTGTTGTAATGGTGGTGGTGGTGGTGGTAGTAGTTGTTGTTGTTGCTGCTGTTTTATTAGTTATAATGGTAAAAATAGTAGTAGTAACGGTTTTAGTAGTAGTTGTTGTAGTTGTAGTAGTAGTAGTAGTAGTTGTTGTAGTAGTAATAGTAGTAGCACACCTGATAATAATTGAAGATGCAACATAGAAAGATTTGGGAATATGATGTTATGAATGGAAGTAGATGGATGGATGGACGGACGGACGGACGGACGGACGGATGGATGGATGGATGGATGGATGGATGGATGGATGGATGGATGGACGGACGGATGGATGGA